GGGAAAGCTAAAACTCAGCCTCAGGTAAGCCTGACAACAAATGTGATGCAGGTGTTTCAGTTTCAAATACCTGTGAGTTTGTTTTTCAGTATTTCACACAACATCTGGATTCTAAAGTTAAGCAAAAATGAAAGTTTTGGAAACTGTTATTGTTGCTCTGATGAGAAACCCCCTTTATCCCTTTTTTTATATAGTGAAGATTTGAATATCCCAATATTATTAAAGTTCATGGACTTCTTGTGTGTGAGAAACACCTTGCAAGGGTTTCAGCTTCTCTTTATAAAGAGTTATTAATTCACTTTTAAAATAGCCAGAAAAGGGTTCTGTATTTAGAAAAGAAAAACCTTCGTTTTTCTCTCTCCCTGCCTGTCTCCAAAAATAAATCAGGAATTTGGTTCTCCTCTATACTCAGTTACTTTCTGCAGAAATAATCATAATATTACAATTTAAGATGATGCTTTCTTGGGTGAGAATTTGACAAAAGCTCTCATCTGTGTCTGCAAAGAACTGCAAAAAGACAATGCCTGAATGTTTTTCACTCAAAGAGCAAAAAAAACCCATTTCCAAAACATGTTTAATTTTATCCCATGTGTGTTGAATTCCCAAACCACACTGGGGAATGCATTTACCTCTGCTTAGTCAGGTCATTGTGGCAATCCTCTTAAATCAGATTTAACTGTAAGCTCACACTGGGGATGGCTCAATGTACCTAATCTGAAGGTGATGAAAGGGTTTCAGGTTCTTAGGGCTTTTGATGAATTTTTTTTCATAAGCAATGAAAGCTATTTAGAAAAAAAACTAAAATAAAAAAGGAAAAAAGAAAAAAGAAAAAAGGAAAAAAAGGAAAAAAAAGAATAAAAAGAGAAAAAAAGAAAAAAGAGAGGGAGAGGAAGAAAAAAAGAATTTAACAACCCACACTGCTACAAACCTGTGGCTACAGCTGCCATTAAGAACTCCAATGGCAGCAGCAGCACCTGCCTTTCCATAAAGTTCTCCCTTCCCATCCATATAAAAAAATCCCTTCACAAACACAAGTACACATTAAATTTGCATTTTCAAATGGTAAATTCATTGCAGAAACACCACTTGGAGTACCAGAAACCTTCCAGGTTTTATAAATAATTTTTTGCAATACGAGATTTGTTGCTTAATGAAGTCCCTTGGAGGCAGTGTGCTTGGAATGGATTGCAAATTAAGACCTTTATTTTCCTTTATTATATTGCTTTCTCCAGCAATCCCTCACACATCTAGTTTTTATTTTAGAATTCTTATCTATCCCTGTAATGAATTCCGCTTTTGATGGGTGTCAAATTGCCAAATTCATATGAATTTCTATCAGTTTCTTTAGTAAAGTAAGTTTTAATTGAAAAATTAAAGGCTCAAAGTCATCAGCAAAAAGGACTAACATTAATGGGGTTTTTGTTCTCTTAGCAAAACTCTCAATTCTCATGCCCTAGGATACATGGAAAATAAAACCAACACTGCAGCCAGATTTCTAAAAGTGTGAGCTGATAATAAAGAATGTAATAACAATATTTGGAGGCAATAAATTGTCCTATGTGCAGAGAACATTACCCAAGGGCAAGATAATCCCTTTGTCTTCCATCTTACCACTCAGAGCTTAAGAAAATATTAGTTACAGCACTGTGGAAATAATTTCACATTGAACTTCTCCACTCAGGCCAGGCTGGCCCTAAAATTCTGGCCTGGAGCTGTATCCAGAGGTCTCAGCATCCCACCACCCCACAGAGCAGCTGGATAGGAATAAAGTGGATATTTATTTATTAAAAGGCCTTCAAAGGATGCACCTTGGGCAGTGCAAGAGCCTGGCTGTGGCTCCACCCAAGATGGACCCTGGGTCAGGAGTTTTCACACCCTTGTCTCTGATACCTGGCTCTGAGATCCAGGAGAACACTGAATTTCATATAACATGAAATTCATGAGCATTTTTTCATAGTGATACATGAAAACAACTGTTGAAGACAGATAAAAGCTAAAAGTGTGTGTAGATTAGAAGTTTTCTTAAATCACTGGTGAAAAAAATTAGTTTAGAGTTTAAACTAGTTTAGAAAACAGAAGACAAGATGGAAAATTTAGGGTGTTGTCTCTTTTCCTTCTTCTTTCTTTTTCATGTTCTTCTTCTAGAGGTTTTTTGGGTAGTAATGAGTGATTGGATAGAAAATGCCACAGTGCAGCTCACAGGTGTTGGGTCATTAAGAAAAATAATATATGTGTCTGTTGTTAATTGGGTAAAAATAAAAATGAGACGGCCCCATGATTTCAAGGCCATTTTGTGCCTCCAAGGCCAAAGTGAGCCAAAAAGAGCAAGATGATTTGAACTTGTGCAGAAAGCCTGGAAAAACCTGCCAATTTTTGTGATAGCATCCTAATAAACATGAGAAACAAGATCCTGATGAGCTTTGGAGTTTTCTTCCTCACTCAGAGAACTGAGATAAACAGAACTCCCTGTAAGGAGTATCCTGAAGGAGCTCAACTGAGAAATCCAGGAGTGAAGAAAAGTGAAGAAGAAGCACAACAGAATCACAGAAAGAAAAAACAAATTAAAAAAGTTATAAAGTTCAGAGTCACACACTAAGGCAGTGCAGAGTATGGAAAATCTGAAAGCTGAAAGTTTAAGTCATCACATCCATGCACGTAAATAAATCTAAAGGCATCATTCATCATTCATCAGGTGCAGCTTTGGGCTGTACAGAGGCTCTCTCATGCTCTCCTGTGTATTTTTGATTAATTAACAAGGAAGCCTGTAAAATAATTCCCTGTTCCTGAGGTCTCCACTACCTAAATGTGCCATGGATTGCAATAACCTCCATCACCAGTGTTTCCTCTGCTCCACGCCTTGCCCTGCGTGCCCCTGTGAAAAACTGAACATTTTAAACATCCTACTGAACATTTTTACATTTTTATACATTTCCCACCCTGGAAGGGCCACCCTGCTGCACAAAGAGCAGGCAGCTCCTCACACAGCCCTCTCTAAGTTATTAAAATATAAATATCACTGCTTTATTACAGAGCTGCAGATGGGTACATAATAGGCCTCGAGCCCTTAATCTTTCATTTGTGAAGAGTGGTACTTCTCTTCCCTACCAAATTACATAATGATGCTGTGTTCCTTGCTTAAAAACCTTGCAGTTCTTGGCCTCAAAGACAACAAAATTATCATTATGCTGTTAATAGAGCTACTACAATACTATCCTATCTTCAAATCAAACAAGATATTAACAATTAATCACTTTCATCTTAAAAAACCACATGCTCAGACTTAATCAGAGTTATTAAAAATCTCCAAATGCAAATTAGACTATCTAAGCAACTGATTTGAAACCCCTGACCAAAAGCCTTGCACTGGGTAGGTGTCAGAGGAAAGATGAAATTTTCCTGCTGTTTTTCAGCAGGATCAGGACAAGCCTCAAGGAAGGTTTTCTGCTCTCTCCAGTATCACCATCTGTCCTGATGTCACACTTGTGGCTGGGTTCTTTTCCCCCTTGGACTGAGATTGATGAGAGAGAGGCAGTTTTCTCTTGTTGTTTATTCTTCTCTAATCTATATTACATATATACAAGGCACAAGGAGCTACAGGCACTAAGATAGAAAGGTGAAAAATGGCCAACAAAGAACTTCTTCAAGATCTTTTATATGTCCATTTACCCAATTAACAAATGCCAAGTTAATTATTTTTCTTAGTGACCCAATGACCCAACACCTGTGAGCTGCCCTGTGGCATTTTCTATCCAATCACTCATTACTACCCAAAAACCTCTGGAAGAAGAAAGGAAGAAAAGACAGCACCCTAAATCCTCCATCTTGTCTTTTGTTTTCTAACTACTTTAAACCTTTAACTTTTTTTACCTAGTGACTTAAGAAAATTCTTTAATTTACACACTCACACTCTTAGTTTTTAACTTTAACAGTTGTTTTCATGGTGTTATATGAAATTCAGTGTTTTCTTGGATGTCAGAGGCAGGTATCAGAGATAAGGGCACACACTCTGTGCCTCTGACTCCATCACCTGCAGCCACTGAGAACATGAGGGTCTGTGCTGGGCCTTGGCACAAGCACAATTTTGCCTCTTGACATCCTTGGTTGATTTTATTTTATTTTAGTTAATTATTTTTTGGTTGGTTTTTTTTTTTTCCCCATTAACCCAAAGATGAGCTATAAGCAGCTCAATACAGAAGAAGTTTTTTTACAGATACAAAGACCTAAATTTAAGTGCCCATTCATTCCTCCACAAAGGCTAATCACGTAAATCCTGCTGATCTCAAAAGCTGCTCTACCTCCAACAATATTGCAACCCAGTCCTTTCACAGCTGGTATGGAGACTATGAATTCAAAACAAAACAAAACTGAACAAAAAGAAACCAAACCAAACAAATCCTTGTTATGAAACATGGGAAGTTAGACAAGTTTTACCACCACACACTGAAAACTTTCTAGCCCCTCCCTTGACAGGTATTTTAAGTTTGAGGGATTATTTCCCTAATAACTGCTCGAATTGAGTGGTAGTGAAGCATTTGTTTTGATTTGCAGAACAGAATGGTTTCCTTTGAAAGCAGAAAATCTTTATCCCAGAACCCCCACACTCCAAAATCAGTTTTTTCACCTAAACATTGCTGCCAAACCTTCTCCTATTGAAGACCTCTGCTAAATCAGTGATAATAAATGAAGTGAAATCATAATCATGTCTCAGATATTTTATTCTGTTATTCTAGATACTGCTGAAATCGTGTGAAAATAAAATGTGTAACCAAAGCCATGTAGCTTTTCATTTACCTCCACAGTTTCCATCTATGAAAGAAACCACTCAAAGCAAGAATCAAGAATTCTGCCAGGAACTGTTAGTCAGAAGAAATATCCAGATTAAAATCAAACAGAAAGCAGAAAAACAGAGATGATGAAGAGGAAAGGACACTATTAAGGAAAGAGAGAAGATGGCAAGGGTGACCAAACTGCACTGGGCTAGAGAGAATTGCTGGCTCTGAGTTCAGATATTGAAGAGTAAAACACTTCTGCAAATCAAATGGCAACTGCCCTAACTGCAGTAATAAATGCTTTTATCTCCATTTTTGTTACAATAACATTTCTAGTGAGGATCTTGGTGCTGGTGAAGTATTGGTACAAGTTACCAGAGAAGGAAATATATATCAGGAGAATGAAATAATTCTGCTCCTTCTAAGCAATGTGGAGATTTTGCCCCCTCTGCAGGTCCAGGAAGATATCCAGAACCTAGAAAATTAGGTTCTAGAATTTAGAATTTAGAATTTAGAAATTGCACCATCCTGCAATAAAATACATTTCAGATTTATTTATCAGTGCTGCATGGCTGTGGCAATGTCTGTTTTCCCCCTTTGAGACATTCCTGAGTGCTGTTCTTCCCAAACCAAGCCACTTGGGATATTTCCTTTTCCCTTTCTGTTGGGACTCCAGCCCAGAGGAGCAGCCTGACAGCTGTACTCCACTATATATATTTTTTTTAATTTTTAATTCATGTACTAGTTCAGATTCTTTGTGTTTTTCTGCATGAGACACTTTTGACCACATACAGATTGAAAAAACAGCAGCCATCATAAATTCCTTGTAGAAAAAAGACAATTTCAGGTAAAGCACACTTTTCCCAGTGTCACTCAAGGAAGGGAAGGAAAAGAAATAAAAAAGGGGCCAATTTTTAAAGTTATTATATATCAATTTATTCATGCCATGAAATTTCACGGTGTAAAAATCATCTGACTGAATACAAAATATCAATATAAATAGATCAAAGAACAGACTTTGAGCTTTATTTCCTCCAAGTAAAAATAAAAAATAAAATAAAATAAAATAAAATAAAAAAAATAAAATAAAATAAAATAAAATAAAATAAAACAAAACAAAATAAAATAAAAAATAAAACAAAACAAAACAAAATAAAATATAAAATAAAATAAAATAAAATAAAATAAAATAAAATAAAATAAAATAAAATAAAATAAAATAAAATAAAATAAAATAAAATAAAATAAAATAAAATAAAATAATGTTGTATTTAAGATGAAAGTGAGTTGGATGGATTTGGTAAAGCCAGTGATATATTACTGTGCACCCTTATCTGATGCAGCTGCTTTAGGACGTGTCCCAGTGCAGCAAACATAAACAAAGCCAGCAATTGATGATTAAAATTTGTGATGAAAAGACACACTGGACTAGTCTCAAAGTATATTCCAGGGAAAGCTCTCCACCACTTTTCCTGATGGTTCACTGTATTTGAGGCAGACAGCTGCTTCCAATTGCTCTTGAAACCTCCTCTGACGTCAATAAGAAAACAATGTCAGCAAAAGATCTACGATAAAATGAGCTTTAAGAGCAACTGTGCTTTTGGTTATTTATTTTTAAAGTACTTTGTTGCTTCCAGATGAAAAATATATTTACATTTAAGAGCATGACTAAGAAGGAAAGGAAAGGAAAGGAAAGGAAAGGAAAGGAAAGGAAAGGAAAGGAAAGGAAAGGAAAGGAAAGGAAAGGAAAGGAAAGGAAAGGAAAGGAAAATTTTCATTCTCCTAAAGCACTGTTATCAGTCTTTATAGATAAAGGAAGAACTAAGAAAATTTTGAAAAGAATATGCACTAGGTTTCAACACTGCAATTTAATTTTCACAATCAGAAGATCTGCAATTATAATACTTTGTTATTAAAGTCCACAGCTGACATCCAGGTAAAGCTAATATTCTATGGGGGGGTCACATAAATACATTAGGAAGGTTGGAACATATCTCCAGCTAAAGAAATTTCTTTAAGATCAAGTACAAATTATTCTAAAGTTCTAAATCCCTGCCCACAATCTAAGAAAGGTGGGGCCTGGATCTTCATTCTTTTGTAACAGCAGACAGTTTTTCAAGCTTTCTTATACTTCTAACAGTGACAAGAAGGGAAAAAATCCTTTTTTTCTCTCTCTTTTTACTTAAAGCATGGTTAAATTGGCTGGTTTTCCTAGAGGTATTTAAAAGGTGCATTCTTTGTAACAGGATTGTTAACATAGTCCAGCTTTGTTAAGAATTTGATTTTCTGGATTAAAAAAAAAATAAATTAAATTGTCAGTTTACCTGCCCTGAACTGGTTTCAGCACGTGGTTGTCTTCTCTTGCCAAAGAAGGTTGTAAAATTCCATTTGGAAACTGATCTGCAGAACCCCTCCTTTTTACCCATATGCACCAACCATACTGAAAACTCTGCTGGAAGATACAAGTCTGCAGATAAATGAGAAAAAAAAAATAAAGATTGAACTTGGAGTGCAACAGTGTAATAAAAACAAACAACTCTGTTACATAAATGTGGTTACTCTCCACTTCTGCAAGTGTGAGTCAGCTCAGGCAGCTGGGACAGCCACAAACTCAGAGTTAAAACTCAAAGAGAACATTCATTTCTGTCATTTCAGCCATCAGGGCATGCCCAAAGGGCAGAGGCACAAGACAAAAAGGCAAATCTGTGGAATTCTGTCCATGCTGGAGGATCACTGATTTATCAGGAGTTATTCCCAGCTGCAGGGTCACCTGAGCATATTTACAATCTCCAGCCTTTTAACTCACCCCTCCCAACATTAATACACCTCATTCTCGGCACAAGAGCACCTATTTTAATATTAATAATTTTTTAATTCAATATTTAAATATTTACTAAATAAATAAAAGATTGGCAATTCTCTTGTAGCAGCAACAACAACATTGTGAGCCATTGTCCACCCCATTCAAAAAACCAACTATTCCCAGTTACTAAATGTAAATATCTCCTCAGTAATTTGCTGGACACCACCCTGGTGTTTCTGTTTGCTCATATTCAGAAGCAAGGGCCTCCATCAACACTTCAGAGAGCAAAGAGCAGGATTGCTGCCAGGACATCTCCTCATCCATCACAACTTTCCTACACTCTTTTCCACCCCCGCTTCCTTTGTATGGCTGATCTCAGGTGATCTGAGATGTCAAGGCTCTTACCTGCATCTAAGGTGTTGTCTCAGCTCTTTTCAAAGTACTGCTCCAAATTCAGAGGAGGAAAGGAGGAGGAGAAAAGCCCTAAAAGCAAGGAATAAGCAGCAATCAGACTGCACAAGTGGTGAGCTGAGGAAAGCCCTTACAGGAGTTAACTCAAGGCTCTTCTCAACACAGTTTGAAGCGTTGTGTGCTTATGGATGTGACAAATGAGTGTGTTAGGCTGCTTAGAGAATCACTGGCAAAGGTATTAGTGAGAGCAGGTTTTAACATAAATTTGTAAAGGTGTAATTTAACAGAGTTCAGTGGCAAGAATGACTCCATTACTCATTACATGGGTGAAGCACACAAAGGAAAATCGGATTAGAAATCAGTCCAGAATGATTTACGTGGAGGCCAGGCACGCAAAATAGTAAAGGTGCAAAGGGTAAGGGTGCTAAAGGGTTTAGCAGCACTTAATCATTGACTAATTTAACATTTATAAAGTAATTTGATAGGATTTATTACAATTACCAGAGAGACCTAATTGCAGATTCAAGATAGCACCTTCGCTGCTGTGCTTGTGAGGGTATTTGAATCAATTCACACACAGGCACAGAAATATCTGCCTGAACCTGTTAAAAATTCCCCTTGAGTGCAGGGAAATGCTCACACTGGCTGCCTTTGCATCTCTCAGAGGGTGCAGGAGTGGAGTTATCACCCTGCCATCAGCTTTTGGTGACAGCTCTCCAAGGATCACAAACTTGAGGGCTCATGAGCTCTTGGAGGAGTCCCACTCACAGGGATGTGCTGGCACAGCCCACTGTGGTCCAGGAGAGCTCAAAAAGCCTCACTTAGGACCTAACAGGAATCTCTAAGGTTGTAGAGCAGCCTCAAAGAGAGGGGAGCAAGTTCCCCACCATGCTGGAGAAACAGGACATAGCTTGGGATTGACTGGACATAGCTCTGGTCATTCTCTCCAATGGATTTTTAACCCTGCTCTCAGAGTTTTGATGAAAGGTTTCACCTCAGTGTCACCAAAATTGGTGTCTTGCAACCACTCCAAAGGCAGCTGCTGCAGGGAAATGCTTTGAGTAAGCACTGAAAACCCACGGCTTGCTGATAAATTTGGGTACTGTGCATTGCACTCAAGGAGGGGGGAATCAATCAAAACATTCTACAAATGTCTTTCTCACATAAAAACTTCCTTCACTGCTGATTCACCACTTCCTACTGGCATTGTCAGGTCCATGAACAGGATATTGTGCAAATAAGCCTGGCAGAAGCAGTTCTGTGTCAGGAAGAGCAGACCTTCCCTGCTCTGAGCTGCTGGGGCTCCTTTACTTTTGTTTTCAGAGACGGGCTGAGAGCACAGAACAATTCAGAAACAGCCTGAAGACAGGGTATAGCATAAAAGGGAAAGATTTGGCTGAGCTGAGTGCTCCCCCTGTGAGGAGACCCCCTGTGAAATGGTCACCTCCTGCACAGTGCCAGCTGAGCAGCACTGAGAGAGATGAGGATCCTTAGGCTGGAGAAGAGAAGGTTCAAGGAGGGGGTCTTGTCAATGTACATACAGAATCCTTTCAAGTTGTTTTCAAATTCCTGAAGGGAAGGTGCAAAGAGGACAGAGCCAGGCTCTTTTCAGTGGTGCCCAGTGCCAGGACCAGTCAATGGGCACAAAGTGAGACAGAGGCTCACAATTATATTACTATTATTTTATTTTATTTTATTTTATTATTTTATTTTATTTTATTTTATTTTATTTTATTTTATTTTATTTTATTTTATTTTATTTTATATTTTTATATATATTATATATTTCTTATACATTTATTTTATTATTATATATTAATATTACATTATACTACTATTTTAGAGACTCCATTATTACAAAACACAAAACACTTTTCCACTGCAAAGGTGGCTGAGCCTTGGCACAGCTTGCCCAGAGATGCTGTGGTGGCTCCCACCTGGACACAGCTCTGAGCAACCTGCCTGAGCAGGGAAGAGGTCCAGGATGAATTCCAGACATCCCTTCCCACCTCACCTCTCTGTGATTCTGTGCTATGTCTCAATCTTCACCCATTGCATATCCTGAAAATGTGCCCAGTGTGCCTTTAGACTCACAGGAAAAAAATAAACCAAGTTTTACTAAAATATAAATAGCTTAAGGTAGTCACAGGTTTCTTCTTCACATTGCAATATAGAACATTTTGGTCCAATAGACAGTTAACACTGTTATTATTGTTAAACTTGTTTTTATTTTAATAATTTAATATTTAATTTTGCTGCACTGTGTCTGTCTCTCAGCCACTGAGCTGACAGGCCACGTACTCATACACACACCTCTGTTACAGCTTCTAAATCCCTAACCTGCCCTATAAATCACATTATTACACTTAAACCTCAAATTATTTTACCTAATAAAACTTCTTACCCGCTGAAGACATATTCTTATTTATAACTATAGCATAAGTTTATAATTTTTCTACCTAATGTTTGTGTACAATTTATCATTACATTAACCCAAGCTCTTTCCAAGGCTGCAGAGCCCTTCAGCATCTGTGGAATTTTCCATTTTTACATTTCCCACACGATCCTTACCTTCTTAGCAGTTAAAAAAAATCACATTTGTTGTTTCACTATGGTTGCAAGAAATACATTGCAATGTTTTCTCAGCTAGGCAGGAGCAGACACCTGTGACTGGCTCCTCAGCATTAGTTCAGGAAAACAACACACATTGTACCCCCAAGGAGCCCTAACAGCTGGGCTGACTCATGTTGGGCCTTTCTACCAAAAAACCTCCATCTCTGAAGGTTGGACCTGATGGTCTTGGAGATCTTTTCCACCCTTCATGGTTCCATGAGACAAAACATAGCATTGGACCACCCACATAAGAGATTTGCATTTCTGCATTTCAGCAAAATGTGATCACAAGGAGCACAATTACACTCTAGAAAAGTCACTCCAGAGGAGGGACAGCTCCAAATCACACACTAGTAAGCTTCCAGCTGGGTTTTAGCGACCCATGGGCATCATTAACAAGGTTCTGGACATGTCACCACCCGTATCTGCAGGCTCTGGTTCATGAAACAGCATGGCAGGGTGCCCAAGGGAGTTGCCAGGCTCTGCAAGGAGTGAAATCACCATGACTCAGCTAAAAAGTTGAGGTGAATGAGCCCCAGTCACCAACCCATTCAGCAAATAACTTACTTATTTATTTAATAAATAATTTATTTATTCAGTATTATGTTATTTGCATCCAGTAAGTAATAACAGTTTAAAAAAAAATAATTAAAGCCTTGTTAAACCTTCATAAAGTCGGGTTTTATACAGCTTTGAATGATGAGTTACCTTCCTCCACCCAGATAAAGAAATCAGAACAAAAATATTTGAACTCTGTACACAAAGCAGAGTCCTTTCAGCAGTTCTCTTCTGCCAGCCCATTCTGTGGCTGAGTAGCCAAAACCTCTCCCTGCTCCTCCCTGGCCTGCAGGAAGTTCACTCCAAAGTCATTAATGTCTTTGAATTAAGATCTACAGGGAGGAAAATTATTGATGGCTCTGTTAAACAAGTGGGTAAAAAAAATAAAGACAATTGTGTGAGGTTTATACCTTCCAGACCAAGATTTGTTGCAAGTAAAGGTTAGTTTAATAGCTCAATCTCAGCATTTCCCAGTCTAGTCTCTACATAATTTTAGTAATCTCCCATTGCTATACCACCCAAGTGTCTTTAATATAAAATTAAGTAATCTGGATATGGCATAGGCTTGGTACAAAATATTTCCAATATTTCGAAATAGAGATCAGTGTAAAAAGAGCAGCATGGTCTTTTCTGGCCTTAAAAACAATGGACCATTACTAAATGTATAAAATCTCAACAGACTTTTCTCTTTTCTTTATTTTTTTGGTAGGTCTTTCTTTTCTGTCAAATTCATCACATTTCTCACAGTAACTTTGTCTTTTTCTTTTTTTTGGGTGGGGTTGTTTGGTCTATGTGTTTTTTCATGTTTGTTTTCAATAGAAGGCACTTCCCCTTGCTTCTTTTAGTTTGACCATGCTGGAGTTATCAGCCACTTTGAAAAATTTGATTCCCTGCTTCCCTGTCTCTGCTTCATATCAATTTGGGTTTTTTCCCCCTCATTCTAGAATGTGTGATGTCATCCAAGACAACTGAAAGATGACAATAAAACTTGGTTAAGCCAATGGCTTAGAAACCAGGCCAAGGAGAGCAGGAAGAGATTTTGTTTATATTTAAACCCAGAACATGCATTTGCTAGCCAAATGAAAATACTGTCCCATAAAAGCAGTTTAAACAATGTAAATGCACATAACTTTTAACAAATCACAATCAAACATCACAGTTAGTGGCTCAATAATTCGTGGTTGCTTCTATATTTTGATAGGCAAACATAAAAAGTCTAAGCATAAAATATTTAACTCTGGCTTACACTGTACAAGATGACACCAGTGGAACTTCCACAGCATTTAAATTGGTGGTCAGGGGTCAGCAATGAGCAAGAAGGAATAGCAATACAAGGATAAGAAAATAGCAATATAAGGAAAAGAAGAAAAGTGTAGACTCAAGCAGCACAGCATCCCTTCTGTGATAACACAAAGTGTCTGTGACTCAGGTAGGATGCTGAACTTACATCAGCTTCATGGTGTGAAGCATCTTTTCTTCCAGGCAGCTGCAGCAAAGCAGAGCCCAGTCCCTGCAGGCTCTGCCTCTGGATTTTGGAGGCACTGCACTCCTCCAGAGCCTCCTGCCACCTCTAAATATCACTGTGCAAAGAGCAGGGGGCTTATTGGGACTAAAGCTGTGATCACAAATCCCCTTGTGCAGCGTCTGACACCCTCCCAGTGCTGGCTGAGATTTAAATTGGAGGCCAGGGAAGAGATTCCTTCCCACAGACCGGGTCCAGCAGGGAGCCCACCCCTCTGCAAAGACAGGGCACTCAGAAATCAGCCAAAACACAATAATTTCATTAATTTCGCCGTGAACAACAGGTGAGCCTAATGCTTTTGAGGAAAAAAATATGAAAAAAAAATCATTTTCCACTTTTCAAAGACACGAGAAATCCATTTGGTGAAGAGGCAGAAATTCTCCTGGCTCTCTCTCAGCACCACGAAACCACAAAAGACTCCAAAGCCATCGAGTCCAGCCTGTCCCCAACCCTTGTCCCCAAGTGCCACCTCCTTTCGAGGGCTGGCGATGCCACCGGGACTCTTTCAGAGCACAACAGCGACATCAGCCCCGAGGCTTTCCGGAAGGACCGGGCGAGGCGGGGCCGGGGCAGCTCCGCTCCCTTATAGCGGCCTCGGGCAGGCGGACGGACAGACGGACAGACGGACAGACAGACGGACAGACAGCACCATGGCCATCCCCTGCGTGGAGCTCAGCAACAAGATGAAGATACCCGCCCTGGGGCTGGGCACCTGGCAGGTACCGAGGGCAGGCAGGGAGATGCAGGGATGAGGGATGAAGTTAAAGCATCGGCAAAATAGAAAAGGGAAAAAAAATCATAGAAAAGGGAAAGGATAAAAAAATCATAGAAAAGGGAAAGGATAAAAAAATCATAGAAAAGGGAAAGGATAAAAAAAATCATAGAAAAGGGAAAGGATGCAAAAGAGAAAAGATAAAAAAAATAAGGGAAAAGGATACAGAATGATAGAAAAGGGAAAGGATACAAAATAGAAAAGGAAAGGATACAAAATAATAGAAAAGGATACAAAATAATAGAAAAAGGATACAAAATAATAGAAAAGGATACAAAGTAATAGAAAAGGATATAAAATAATAGAAAAGGATACAAAGTAATAGAAAAGGATACAAAGTAATAGAAAAGGATGCAAAATAATAGAAAAGGATACAAAGTAATAGAAAAGGATGCAAAATAGAAAAGGAAAAGGATACAAAAATAATAGAAAAGGATACAAAATAATGGAAAAGGATACAAAATAATAGAACTAGAAAAGGATACAAAATAGAAAAGGAAGCGCCGCTCTAAAATCCGGGTCCGTGCCCTGCCTGGCGCTCGCAGCGCCCGATGGCGGCCGCTTATGCAACCGGGCGGGGGGGCCGAGGGGAGCCGAGGGGGAAAAAACCAAAAAAAATATAAATTAGGGGCTGGAGGAGGTGGGAGGAGGCGCAAAAACCAGAGGGGAAGAGAAGGAAATCCACCAAAAAGAGCGAGCGGCAGCGGCTCGCAGCCACGGGATGGGGTCGGGGTCTGCGGGGGGAGGATTCGGGGAAGGGGAGGATTTGGGGTAGGGGAAGATTTNCAGAACCCCCACACTCCAAAATCAGTTTTTTCACCTAAACATTGCTGCCAAACCTTCTCCTATTGAAGACCTCTGCTAAATCAGTGATAATAAATGAAGTGAAATCATAATCATGTCTCAGATATTTTATTCTGTTATTCTAGATACTGCTGAAATCGTGTGAAAATAAAATGTGTAACCAAAGCCATGTAGCTTTTCATTTACCTCCACAGTTTCCATTCTATGAAAGAAACCACTCAAAGCAAGAATCAAGAATTCTGCCAGGAACTGTTAGTCAGAAGAAATATCCAGATTAAAATCAAACAGAAAGCAGAAAAACAGAGATGATGAAGAGGAAAGGACACTATTAAGGAAAGAGAGAAGATGGCAAGGGTGACCAAACTGCACTGGGCTAGAGAGAATTGCTGGGCTCTGAGTTCAGATATTGAAGAGTAAAACACTTCTGCAAATCAAATGGCAACTGCCCTAACTGCAGTAATAAATGCTTTTATCTCCATTTTTGTTACAATAACATTTCTAGTGAGGATCTTGGTGCTGGTGAAGTATTGGTACAAGTTACCAGAGAAGGAAATATATATCAGGAGAATGAAATAATTCTGCTCCTTCTAAGCAATGTGGAGATTTTGCCCCCTCTGCAGGTCCAGGAAGATATCCAGAGCCTAGAAAATTAGGTTCTAGAATTTAGAATTTAGAATTTAGAAATTGCACCATCCTGCAATAAAATACATTTCAGATTTATTTATCAGTGCTGCATGGCTGTGGCAATGTCTGTTTTCCCCCTTTGAGACATTCCTGAGTGCTGTTCTTCCCAAACCAAGCCACTTGGGATATTTCCTTTTCCCTTTCTGTTGGGACTCCAGCCCAGAGGAGCAGCCTGACAGCTGTACTCCACTATATATATTTTTTTTAATTTTTAATTCATGTACTAGTTCAGATTCTTTGTGTTTTTCTGCATGAGACACTTTTGACCACATACAGATTGAAAAAACAGCAGCCATCATAAAATTCCTTGTAGAAAAAAGACAATTTCAGGTAAAGCACACTTTTCCCAGTGTCACTCAAGGAAGGGAAGGAAAAGAAATAAAAAAGGGGCCAATTTTTAAAGTTATTATATATCAATTTATTCATGCCATGAAATTTCACGGTGTAAAAATCATCTGACTGAATACAAAATATCAATATAAATAGATCAAAGAACAGACTTTGAGCTTTATTTCCTCCAAGTAAAGCAATCCTCCAAAAATATTAAAAGAGAAAAATCTTGACAGTGTCTTAGGAAAAAAAATTAAAATAAAATAAAATAAAATAAAATAAAATAAAATAAATAAAATAAAATAAAATAAAATAAAATAAAATAAAATAAAATAAAATATAAAATAAAATAAAATAAAATAAAATAAAATAAAACAAAATAAAATAAAATAAAATAAAATAAAATAAAATAAAATAAAATAAAATAATAAAATAAAACAAAACAAAATAAAATAAAATAATAAAATAAAATAAAATAAAATAAAATAAAATAAAATAAAATAAAATAAAATAAAATAAAATAAAATAAAATAAAATAAAATAAAA